ATGCTGTATTAATATATTTGCCCTGAAAGGCTCACTTCCTAGCACTCCACGTCATATCACATACTGATTGATGATGACACCTCAGGTTCTACCTACCACCTACAAACACACGCGATGAAAATACAACAGCGACATTAAGGCTTGAATGCACTCCTAAGTAAACCATACGATTCTAAATCGAAAGACACAATTAACAGAAACCAACATTTCTTCGCAGTATTTACGTCAATGTTAAGAGAAAACGTAGAAACGCTAATTGAGCCCCGTACATTTGGAAAATACAAATTATAAAAATTATAAACACTAATGTATACATCCCCACAATTACTCCATTCACACACAGAAGAAGGAAATGGCAAACACCTTCTGGATCATCTGCCAAGAACGTATATGAACAGGTCCCAGTCCGAGAAAAGGATGGAAGGATCCTGTTCATATGGACCTGTCGTCAGACAGAACACTAAATAATAATAAGATGAGGTGGTCTAGCGATTAGAACGCTGGCCTTGTAATCCTGGGGTCTCGGGTTCGATTCCCGGCGGTGCCCGAATTTATAACTTGTGTTGGGCAAGGCCGTGGTCTAGGCAACACGGAGTTTTCCTCCGGGGGCATCCCAACAATTACTCCATTCACACACAGAAGAAGGCAATGGCAAACCACTTCTGGATCATCTGCCAAGAACGTATATGAACAGGTCCCAGTCCGAGAAAGGATGGAAGGATCCTGTTCATATGGACCTGTCGTCAGACAGAACACTAAATAATAATAATAATAATAATAATGTATATATTACGACTTAATTTGTGGGTCGAGATTGCAATGACATACACCATTTTTTCATCCAACCTTCCCTCCTTAGCGACGTAAATTAAGTTACGAAATACTGAAATCTGTACAGCAAAAACGGCATTACGTCACTGCAATATCGATTGTTTAAAAGGTTATCGATACTTTTATGCTGTACAGAAGACGTACTGAACAACGCAATGCTACTTCCTGGAAGGATAAACAAGACAATGTGATGAACGTTACCAGTTGATTACGCGGCTATCGGCAATCAATGCGTAGGTTGCCGCGTTTCATGGTCCTAACGGCACAGCCGCCGAATATCCTCCATGTAATTTTCAAGGTTATACCGACTTCTATGACAGTAATGTTTAAAACTTCTCTCTTCTACGTAAATCCTACAGAGACGGAGGTTTCAAAGTAACATTTGAGGTCCTGTAGTGTAACGACGGGTGAGAAACTGCCTTAAACCACAAAATAATTTTTTTGTGAGTAGCTTTTAAGATATTTTATAATTTTGAGTCGATTTATTGCAATGAGGGCAGATACGGGCAAACATAGAGATTTTTAGTTCCGATGTCGCGTACAAAATTTTTATCGAAATCAATTGTTTGTTAAGAGGAAACACGCGGGACGGATGATAAGAATATTTCTACGCGCTCTGTAAGGAAGTCAATGAACTTGGACCCGCATTGATTGTGTGTCGTTAATATAATCTAAAACTCGAAGAGCGCGCATACATTTTTTAGCGGCAAAAATTGCTGTTCATTCAGCCTTCTTCTGTGTCTTGTCTCTTGCAGAACAAACACAGAGCAACAGTTTTATATTAAATTCAGCTCGTCATCAAATTAATTATTTTCAATGAGAATGAAACTCCTACAATCAATTAACTTAAGCAAGTGATATTCAGAAAGATAAGGGACTTCAAAGAAAAGTTAATAGAATTCTTTGTTGCAGCTTGCAATCTCTGGTAATTTTTATCAGCGATGACTTCAAAATTTACGACTTCTCGTTGATTTGACATAGAATGGCAGTGCATTATAGTCATATTTAAAATTGTTCATAGTTAAAAGTTGCTTCCTGACCCCAACCGGAGGTCAGCACGTCCTTGAAGGGATACGCTGTTTTCAACACCGAGCTATATCTCATTATGTAACGTTGCAGAGTGGCGTGAGGGCTCAGTATTAATTGATTTATGGTCCCCTATCAGAGAGAATAAAAACAGAACCGAAAACAAGCTAGGCTCTAGATTTTCTCAGCCGTAGATTTACGGCTTAGTGGACTGAAAATGTTTGCGTTGTCTTCAATCATATTTAATATAATTACCAGTTGGCAAACTTCCAGCATGTAATGGAAAAGTACAGGGGGTAATCCTGTATTTTCATGAGCATTTTGTTTTCAGACACCAGATCATTGTAAGAGACCGCGTTATGCACACGAAACACGTGACAAAATTATATCTTATTTTAAAGCTGAATTAACAACAGTCATTTCTAGAAGTTGTTATCATTTTACGATGAACTTAATTATATTCATTTAAATCGGTTTTATGTATCATACCGTTATTTCTAAGTATCAATTCATTTCTTCGAAGAGGTTTAAAGAATATGAATTTAATATGTAAACAATTATATAGAATTATATTTAAACATTACAGAAAAAGTAATGCTATTTAAGTCATAATATTCTGAATGCAGATTTGTATAGTAATACCGCACTGTACATTTTATAAATAACAAGTAACATGCGAATTTCGTCGCAGATTTAAGGTACGTTTCGAGCGT